GCAGACGATACAACTTTGCTTGCTGAAAGTGAGAATGACTTGAGGCACTTACTGATGAAGTTTGAAGAATACAGTATGCAATATGGATTACATCTCAATATAAAGAAAACAAAAATACTCACAACTGGACCAAAGAGCAGCATCACAATAAATGGAGAGAAGATTGAGGTTGTCAACGAATTCACGTTGCTTGGTTCTACAATTGAGGCCAATGGAAGCAGCAGTCAGGACATTAGAGTATGTGTAGCACTGGGTAGGTCAGTTGTGAAGGAATTCTTTCAAGTGCTGAGGAGCAAGGATGTCTCCTTGGGGACTAAGGTGTGCCTGACACAAGCCATGATATTTCCAATCGCCTTGTATGCATGCAAGAGCTGGACAATGAATAAGGAAGACTGAAGAAGAGTTGATGCTTTTGAGTTGTGGTGCTGGCAAATAATGCTAAAAGAAGTAACAGATCTGTCCCGGGGTAAGTGCACCCAAAATGCTCCTTAGAAGCGAGAATGGCCAGACTTCGTCTCACCTATTTTGGTCATGTTGTCGGAAGGGATCATTCCCTGGAGAAAGATGTCATGGTTGGTAGGGTGGAGGGTCGACAAAAGAGGGGGAGGCCTTCAATGAGATGGATTGACAAGGTGGCTGCGATGATGGGCTCAGATATAGCAGGGATCATAGAGCTGGCGTGGGATCGGGTAGTGTTTCGTTCTGCTGTGCGTGGGGTCGCTATGAGTCAGAAATGACTTGACGGCACCTAACAACAACAACTTATTATAAATATTGTAAAGAATAAATGAGTAAATACAGATGCTTTATATACATATATAAATATATAATCATGTTTTATTTATCCCTTCTAAATTGTACTTCCTAAATTTTCTAAACTTTAAAAATTCCGACATAGATTCTATACCCACTTCAATCTTTCATGATATCTCTGAGCTGTCATCTCCTGCAATTAGAGTAGCAATCAGTCAGTCCAAACCAAAAAACCAAACTCACTGCCATCGAGTCAGTTCTGACTCATAATGACCCCT